CCCCCCCCGCCCGGGGGCCCCCAGCCACAGCTGTCGGAGGGGACGAAGCCACGGGGGCCGCGAGGACGGCCTGGCTGTGCCCAGCGCCAGGGCCCGCTCCACCTCCACGCGCGAGCCCCAGCGCCTGCTTCTCTCCCGCCTCGGTGAGGACGCCACAACCTGGTCGCTACTCCGCCCTCTTTCCTGGAGTGTCAGCAGCCACCGAGCTCAACTCTCAGCCCACGCCCTTAGCGCCCCCTGCCCGCCGAAGACTCGCGCTTCTCTAGCCACTCCGCCCCACGTCCGGACAGTCGCGATCGCCCGCTTGGCTGGCCTTCCTTCCCCAGGCATCGATTAATCCACAGTGCTCTCCTGCCTGCCACCTTGCAGAGCCTCCCGAAGCAAGGCTACAGAGGAAGCTCTGCCATGGAGTCCCAGCTCTCCTGCAGCCTTCAGGGGTGACTTGCGACGCAGACCGTGCCCACCACGCGTATGTCGCCCTAAGCCAGCCAGGAGGCCTCGGCAACCCGAATGCCACGCTGGCCTGCAGCTGCGCTTTTCCTCCTCCTCTCCCCAGCCCCTCTTCCATACCTGAACTCAAGCAGCTGTGGTGGAAGCTCCTACACCCACGGGCAGAGGCCAGCCACCCTGAAGCCGTCTCTGGGTGCATTTGTGGAGCACGCTGGCAGTCCTCACCCTCTGGATCCCGGTTGGAGAGAGGTCCCCACCCTGGCCTGTCCTCCCTGGGACTTAAGGCTGATTCCAGAAACAGGTTCTGCCTGAGGCATGGCTTCCATCAGAGCCTCTTCCAGAAGCTGCAGCCTCTGTAGCATCCCAGAGAAGAGGCCAACCCAGCCCTGAACCCTGTAGTGTCTCCCAGGGATAGCCCTTTCTGAGCTGTGCCAGCCCCGGCACCATAGTTACCGCGCACACACGTGCTGATTTGCTATGGGGCCAAGGACTTGGCCCTACTTGCACACCCGGGAACATGAGCTCCCAAACAGGTTGGCATACAACAGATGCTCAAGGGTATGCTGGATGAATTTCCACCCTTTCATTTAACATTCAAGGCCAGGACTTCAGAGGATACTTCTATTATGAGGGGCTTCAGGAAGTTTGTGGAGAGGCCAGCAGGTGGCCTAGTGGTTAAGATGCTGGACTCCCACATGGCTGACCACATTTTGTCCCAAAGCTGGTAGCTTGAAAATCATGCTGGACACATGTGCATGCATGTCCAAGATCCTGAGAGGAGACTGGAGAAGGGATTGCAGCATGGCCATCCCCCCTGGGGAGTGATTTCTCACTTTCCCTCTCTGAATCTCTCTCTCTCTCCTTTCCAGCGAGTGCACATGCTCTAAGACAAAAACATAATAAAAAAGGAAGTTTGTGGAAAAATTGAATTAAAGGGCCAGCTCCATAGTGCAGAGGTTAAGGGAGCCAGATCCCACATGGCTGATAGTAGTTTGACTCCCAGTGCCAGTGCCTTGAAATACAGGTAAGGTGAGCATGTGGCCTCCAAATCCTGACAGGACAGAAAGAGGAAAGAGGATTGGCATGACCATGTCCATTGGGGGGTGCTTTCCACTCTTCTGCTCTCACTTGCTTTCTATTATTGCACATGTCCTCTAGCAAAAAAAAAAAAAAAAAAAAAAGTATGAGCAGATTTTGGTGCAAAATATGTTGAAGTCCATGCATAGCTTTTTCATGATATACATTCCCCCATGAACTGTTGAAAGACCCCTGGCAGGTGTGCCCGCATTTGCGTGAGGCTGAACTCTGAGCAGGTCCCTGGTTCCACTGCTCCACACAGTTGTGGTCTTCTCCAGCTGGCACCAGCAGGTAAGGGTGACTGTGGCCCTGGTGGGCAGGCAGTCCTTTGGTGTGCCCTTGCCTGTCAGGGTGCCAGGTCAGCAGAGGCCATGACAGGGACTCAGCTGATATGGGGCCCAGGAGAAGCCAGGGCCTAGGGTGGAGGTGGGGACCAAAAGCTCCAGGGCACAGCCAGCTCTGCCACCTGGATGGTAGTGGTCCCGACCACGGAAGTTGTGCTGCAAGCAGACCCGTGCCAGGCCCTACTAGGCGCATGCTGGAGCAGTGTGACTGGAAAGCACTGACTTGGAGCAAGCCAAGGAGGACAGTGAGGTCAGCATGGGAGGCAGGTTGCCTCCCACCACAGTCCGGGAAGTGACTATCTGTTGTTTACAGACAGCCAGATCCAATGGGGAAACATGCCACCAAGCTGTCGTGTGAGCTGGAGGGGGACTTCTGTCTTATAATGAAAGCCCAGACCTTGAGTCACTTTCACAGAGAGATTTATCGAGAATGCTAACAGCACAGGATACAGTACTTCCCAACAAAAGGTGCAAACGCGTCACTTAGAAAGGCATGCTGAGTATTCTTTGCTTTCACATGTATTAAAAAACTTACAAAAATAAAATAAAACTGCGTGCTGCCCATCTTTTCAAATAGTAAAAGAACCTTATGAAAAAATCACTTGATTTTACAACAAAAGACACAAACGGACATTTTTATGTAAATTTTGTAAATTTATAAGGCAAACTCTTTATAAAATAAATAGGTTACAGGGATTCAGTGGGGGGGTGTTTTGAAACGTATACAGGTACATTCAGACAGGTTTACTGAAATGGTACAAATTTCCTTAATAAATTGCCTTTTGTTTTTAAATATATCAGTGCTTTCAGTCATTTGGCTATACACAAAGAACCTTTTTTTTGAACACTACAAAAAAGCAATCATTTTTTTTGTTTGTTTTTAAAACGACCTACTTATTTTCTAAAGTAATTGTCCCAAAACACAAAAACTGAAGGTGAATGCGATAGAGGGCTTTAAGAGACATCTGCTATGTCTGTCCTGTGCCTGTCCCTGTGCCCTACCCTCCCAGGGCTCTCAGCCTCTGCACTGGCACAGAAGAGCAAGTCTCCGACCTGGGAGGGGCAGACACCCTGTCTGGGTCTTCAGGTACTGGACCCCGTGTGCAAATGGTCACATGTCAGGACTGCCCTCGCCTTTCAGAGGAGTGCTCAGGCACTAAGGGAGCCCAAAACAATGTCTAAGGGAGGGTAAGGGCTTCTCTGAGCAGGATCTGGTTTTGCCATGGATAAGGAAGGGGGTTTCACAAGTCCCAATTTTTGCTGGGGATCGGATGACAGCAAAGAGAGCCTCCCTCCACACTGGTCTATCATGCTGGATGGTAGGCAACAGAGATGTCACACTGTTGTGCACTGGGGGGCGGGTGTGACAAGTGTCTTGAACACTAATGCCCTTGGGGCATGCCTTGGAGATGAGACTGCCCATGTCCTGGCCTGTCTAGGAGCTGTGCCAGTTGGGGAGTGGCCAATCCATTTGCCAACGTGTACCTGCCCTGGGCCCCAGCTCCAGTTCTGACACCTTTGGGGAGGCCAGCTCTGCACACACACATCCCCTCCTGGTTCTCCTCTGAGAACATCAATTTTGTCTTTTCTTCAAAATAACGATGATGGTAATCATCTCGGGAGTCCAGGGGCAGCCTGAAAGAGCCCACTGGGTGGAACAAAAATTGATTCGGCTCTGTGGCCTGCACTGGGACTCCTGGGCTTGCCTTTTGGTGGTTTCTGCTGATCGGGGCAGGGCTCATTTCTTTAGGTCTCTCTTCTCAAGCCAGTCACCAGCCCCTCCCTCCAAATGCTTTTGTTTGTAAAGAAAAGGTGTCTAGAAGCATTTGTCTCTGGAACAATTACTTTAAACATGATTACATTACAGACTTCAAACACAGAAGAGATTTACTTAGCAAAGTTCCTTTCACCCACCAAAAATTACACAAATATAAGCCTCAACACCACAGTTAAGAGGACCAGTAGGGAGAACCTCATGTTTGGAACACAAAAGGAGAAATAAAAACCAAACCAAACCCAAACAGAAAAACCCCAGAACAACAAAGAAAGGGCAGGAGGGGGGGGGGGGGGGAAG